TAATGGGTGATGAGATTCTAGGATACGAGTGTTGGGAGCATATCCGATACATTCACTTACTGTAAATTACAGTTGATGTGCACATAATGGTGCAGCTGTGTGATAAACAGTTTGAAAGTGGCTCGCAGTCTTGTGAGACGGTGGGGCAGATGGCTGATAACTGAGGGCTACAGTACTGGGGGGGGGGGAACAGTTCACTGGTTTTTTCTTCTTACTTGTATTGCCCATCTGCCGGAGGAGAGTTTTGGAACGGTGGGTAACGGAGTTGGGAGGGGTAATCCCGCCGGCACACGCTGCACCAATCAGGCAACGCAACTAAAGACATTATCAATGAGGCCCGTGAAAGAAGCAATCATTTCTCTACGGAAGACATTTTAACCAATGTCCAAGACAGCACAACTCCAAAATGCAGATGCTATAGAAGATGTTCATTGGTGACATGAGTAAACAGTAATACATCTCCCCTCATCTATCTTATACATATATTCTGGTGATATGCTCAAAACGCCAACATATTCACTTGTGACATACTGTTTATCTAATAAGCGGAGACTGTATCACAAAGCAGTGAGGTGCCTGATATGAAGCCAAGTTCCACCGACTTCTAACGGTATAATGGTTTTGGAGACTGAAGGTTTTCAAAAAGAACACCAAAACCTGTTGCTCTGTTGGTTTAATACTTTATTTCAACAAAGAACCATGGACCTAAAAAAAATTGTAAATAAATCACAGACCTTATAACAGACCTAAAGGCATCACAAAAAGGGCAGGAAACAAAAATAAATAAGATAAAACTCCTTACTACCCCTTATGGGGTATACACATTCCAGAAAGGTAGTTGAAGATCATGTTAATGTTTAAATCAACATTGGGATGTGTGGAATGTTGTTATATAGTTTCCTAACTTGGCTTGCTAGGAGCAGATTGACTGTGCCTCTGTATTTAGGCTCCTGTTCAAACACCCCAATATCTCCTTCTTCGTGGCCGTAGTTTAACGTTATAACGTTTTAAATGTCTACGGTGAGCGCGGTGATCTTAGGGACAGGAAAATTGCACTCCCAAATGAAAGGTACCAAACAGAAAGCAAAAACAGAAGGATAATTCCTTTCAAAAACAGAGACTAACAGAACAGAAGCAACTAACCCTAGAAACCCTAACAGAAGAAGAAATATCCACCAAAGACACTGAATTGCAACGCTTTAAACCAACGGCGAATTAACACACGATACAAGGACTGGAACCAGAAGGAGGCAGGACGACAGGTGTCTCAGCTGGCCTCCAGACGGTGTTCCTCTCGCTGCTCGGGTTCACTACGGAGGTCAGTTCTTCTCAACAGGTTGGACATCCTTGAATACAAATACCTCCTGGTCTGGTTTCATTGGCTGACACATAAAGCTCAGTCAGTAACGACAGGTGAGATCAATTCTACGCGGCCTTTCCCAGCAACCCTTGCCAGTGGACACTCACATTGATGTGTCCGCCTCCTTTGGACCAGATTTATAAAGGCACGCACCTGTCTATAAAACGTCAAACCCACGGTCACATGGGTAGCGAAGCAGAGAATCTGAATGTAGGACAAGCGTTTCAGCAGTGCTCCATCGATCAGATCGTTATGGTAACTAGGTAGAGTGGCTGGCCAGAAACTTCAGCTGAGTAAAATGCATATTACATGGAAAACGCTAATCTGATTGGATGAGACCAACATGTCAAGCGCCATGTGGAATAAATTACCAGAAGATCTGAGACGTGCCCCAAATGTATCCATTTTTAAAGCCAGGCTAAAAACATTTCTCTTTTCAAGCGTATGACTGAGCACTTAAACTTTACCACACTGTTAATTCAATTTTTTTTTCTATCCCTCATTGAATTGCTCATTTGATGTTTGTACTTCTTTGTATTCTGATGCATGGCATAAATGAAAACCTGTAATGTATATTATAGTTCTTATAACTTCCAGGCCAGGTTCTAAAGACCTTAAAGTTCTATAAGTCTGGGATGTTCTGAAGACTTCCTAGCCAGGTTCTGTAGACCTGAACATGTTCTGAAGACCTTTTGAATAAATCTCAAAGACCCTGACGTTCTTTTGACTTCCAGGCCAGGTTCTCAAAGACCTGCATGGAAGTTCTTAAGATTTCCAGACCAGGTTCTAAAGACCTGAAATCTCTAGAAGTCTGGGAGGTTCTGAAGACTTCCTGGCCAGGTTCTGAAGACCTGAAAAGGTTCTAAAGACGTTTTGAATAAATATGTAAAATGTACATTTACAGTTAATACTGACATGCAATGTTTTACTTAATGCCAGTAAACAGGTTGCTATGTATATAAAATGCATGGATTTTATTATTTTATTATTATTTATTTTCTCTGTAAAGCACATTGATTTGCTTCCATGTATGAATTGCGCTATATAAATAAACTTGCTTGCTTGCATGTCTGGCAAAAACAGGTTGCTGCTCATCACCTGGTGAACCCCATTCCTGTGGTGAAGCATGGTGATGGGAGGATCATGCTATATACAAAACCATTACAACCCCAATAATATATGTGTGTGTGTGTGTGTGTACACATACATACATACATACATACATACATACATACATACATACATACATACATACATACATACATACATACATACATATTCATAAAACCTTTCTTGGCCCACGATTTTTCACCCTACTGCGTTTATGATTTGGTTTGGGCAAATACTGAAGTTGGGTAGCAAGTTAAACTCTAATGACATTTAGATATTGTCAAACTAAGCTTTTGATAGTGTTTGTCGAGATTGACCAAATAAAAACGTATATAGCTTTCATAAAACATGTTTTTTATGCATGACACACATTTTGACAATGTCTATGTAAATTTGTTTAACATTCAAATTATTTCATATTAATTTAATATTTGGCCACAAATACATGTCATATGCTTTTTAAACAACTTTTTACACCAATTACTTTCTGCATATTAAAGTCTGTATAAATAAATAAAATATTGTTTTACATTTCTTTTGGAGAATGTGTTCAATTTGATTTAAATTACTCTAAATTTAGCATTAAAACATTAAACCTCAGATTCCATTCTAGCTCATTATTGTCTGCAGCCGGTTCTTCTTCAAACACTCAACATTCTGGCCCAAAACTAAATTAGCATTAGATGTGCCACAAAACAATTAAGGGCTAACGATGTCTTTGTTCATATGCAAAGTCTGGCTGAAGTCACTGTTATTTTTTATGTAATTATTATTCAATATGTCAATTAGGGGGGTGAAAGTGGCATAAAGTGTGTAACCGTGTTAACAGTGGTAAGGGAGGGTCATGAAAATAAATTATCCCTCGGCACCAATTACGCATTTCTCCAACTGTCGACTATCCAGTAAGGTGGATAGTGTTCCACTGATAGAGCTACTGACTGTCTATTCCAAAGACATCCACATCCACATTGAGGTGACAGGATTGGATGTTAGTGCGTCTGCCCTCCCCAATGCCAGTGCTCTGCACCACACTCCATGTTCAGACAACTCGAACACAAAGAGAACGGCAGCCAGAGGGAGATTCCTCACAGAACCCAGTCAGGCATTTACGAGTCATTTTACGAGTGCATCAGCTCCACCTTTAGGTCATTGCGGGTAATGCGGGTCTGACAGTTCACACAGGCTTGTATCTTTCATACTGTGCATACATTCTCATTGTTACTTAACATTTTAAAAGAGAATATCCAGTAAGTGTTATGCTGTAGCCCCAGTGGAATGATACGGACTTATGCCTTCATGCGTAGGAAACCCCGATCAATGACTGAAGCCATTCAGAGACTTGATCTCAGAGGAATTTTAAAGGTCTGCATGTCATTGACCAGAGGTCCTCTGTGATACAAGTCCAGTTTGTTTGTTGTGAATGAATTGTTTTCTCTTCAAGAACCAGCTTTGTCTTTCATTAGAAGACACTTCTTTCTCCCACACAAGTCAAAAGTGCCTGGCACCTGATCCGATTAAAGCATGATGCTTATTGACAAGACAAAGTCACCAACTGATTCTGGGCTCAAATGTGGCCAAACAAAAAATGTCATTTTACAAGTGAATGGTAATGTGAGCGACTTGAACAGACTGGAGGTTTATAATACCATAACCTCAAATGAACCATGTTGACAAGAGCGGAAAAACAGGGCTACCCTGAAAGGCATTCCAAAACTATGACAATAACAGCACTCCTTCAGAGTTCACTGGCAAACATAGTGAATTGCAGGTGTAACATATCTACTCGAAGGCTACATGATGAGTACAAACCGTTGACAGAAATACAATCCTGTTTAAAACATTTACATTTAAATACTGAGCAACTGGGAATATGACATCATTTCATACTATAAAAAAGATATATAAATAATAGAGATTTTACATCACAAGCGCAATGCTTTTCTCAGAGGTCCGAATTCTTTGTCACATTGTTAAGTGATTATAAATAACATAATATTTAACACCTCACCGAGTGACAACATCAGCACAGAAGTGACACACCAGTGGTGGGTTTGGATCTGAAATTAAAATCTATGAGCAGGAAAGAACCCTTTTCTTTGGGTTCTAATGGTCCTGAGGGTCTTGTTGAAAATTGCGATGGCATAAGTTTAATAAACTTATCCGGGAAAATTTTGGGGGGAGAAGAAAAACCGGTTTCCCCCATTGAGACTATGTTGGCCCCAAGGGGATATATTAGCAAGGCAATAATCGCAGGGTGCATTAATAATCAATAATCTATCAATAATGCATGCATACACTTGACAGGGCTCCACAGGAGGACCACATTGGGACATTTTGCTCCTCATTTTCTGGGCTTTAACAAGTGAGGAAGCCTAAATCACAGCGAAATGTAGCATACAACGACGCCAAATACAAGATGTACAAAGTTACAAAGATTGTTTAAGAAAACTGTCTCCATCCCAATCCACCATACGTTTAAAGCACAATCTGTCCTTGGTTGATAGGCATCATGGAAAATAATATATAGAATATGGTGTAGTTCAGTGGTACAGTGCATGCTTTGTGTGTTTGGTGTCCTGGGTTCAATCCCCAGCTACTCTCCAGGTCGCCGTTGCAAATGAGAATTTGTTCTCAATCAGCCTACCTGGTAAAATCAATTTGTTAAATAAGAGACGTCAAGATCATAATGTAGGCAAAAGCTTTCAATAACCCTATTAGTGTGTTTATGAAGAATTCTAGTTTGTCAATTAGGTAGCATTGCAGAATAAAATGAGTCAAAATGTTTGTCTGTTTCACTGAATGGCTCAAAGATCTGGTTCATTAAAGAGAAAGACTCATGACCATGAGTCAAACAATGAACCAATGAATCCTTATTGGCCCTCAAATCCAGCACACCAACAAACAAGGCATTTGCTAAAATTAAATGCTATATTAGGCATCGCCGTGATTAACGAAAAAACAGCTGAATCTTTGCCGTAAATGAACGCTGTCTAAGCACGAAATAAAATGCTCATAGTAAATTGATATTTAAGGAAAAAATAAACAAAAATACCAAATATGTTTTGCTCTAATATTATTTTCCAGGGGTCACCAAATCATGTACTGGGGCTACTGATGGAAATACCCACGAGTCACCAGTGGAAAATGCTAGTCTGCAGTTCTGCGGGAGTTTAACTGCCTACGGTTAGCATATTAAGCAGGTACATCACACACAAACGGTTGGGTTTATTCATACAGTCCCCATTGATTATCATCAGCAGAAATGACTGTATAATAAGGAACGGATCTACATTTAATTATTTGTAAAATAAATTGGGACATTGTTTTACTACCGAGTTGGATCGAAATTTTATCAAACAAGTTTGTCGTTTCTAAAAAAAAGGTAGAGTTCAGATTGAGCCTCTTCACTTCCACTGCTTTTTCTACAATCATAATTATACTGATTTACACATTATGTCTTATAGCTTGCAGATACAAACATGGACTTAGATGGTCTTGGTGTAAATCTCCATTAGAACAATCGTAGCTGGATGAACAGCGTGTTTTTGGGTTCTAAGGGACCATGTAAAATCTGTAAAGTCTCCATCCAGTTGACAAGTCACACAATTCAAACAAATCATTGTTCAAGACGACAAGAGTGGCATCCGATTCTAGCCAATTATAAGAAAAACAGGAGTCATCCATCCATCCTCCTTAAACAACCTGCTGCACACCGGGGATGGGTATTGATGTGTCTAAAGTAGGGCCAGAACACCAACATAGGGGTTGGGACCAGAGTGCCTCTTTAAGGAATGTGAATGCAGGGGAACCGCTGGCTCTCTACCACAGTACGGGGGTGGTTGGACCGGGGCATGGTCTCTTTCTAACGCTAAAAATTACCCAGTGCTGCTGACGTTGTGGGAGGTAGTGCAGTTCCAGTGTGTTTACCCTCTGCCGCTAGACTGAATCATGTTGTCGGTTATCAGGCCGACAGCCAAGGCTGTGGATGGCACACTTGAGGATGGAACTGGTGTTGTGCAGAGCCAAGCAGTTCTGGGTTAGGAAGAAAAGCAGAGGTACTGTTCCTGGAAAACTTCAGGGCCAGCTCTCGCCTTGGTTTTGCAGTCAGGCTGGTTCTTCAACTGAATGCCATTATAGGCCACGAGTCCTAACAGGGAACTTGATTTCCATCTGATAGCTCAATACTGAAATCCCAAAAATGGCAAACAATTTAAATAGCCATCACACCAGCTACAGAAAATGATGTACAATTCCCCGTAGGACATCATTCAAGTCACATTACAAACTTTGAAATCTGTGTCTGCTCTAAACGAACCGCGGATGTCGGCAAAACATCCAAACACCCAATGACAGTCTGCAAGCCATTACAATCGTTGTGTTAATTTCAGCTGGAATGTGCACATATTCCAATTACACAGACTAGATGTTGTGGCCATAGTCCCATCTCACACACCTAAAAGGTTTCACAGTATTCTGAAATACAGAGGAACCACATAATAATGAGATCCTGCCCCTAAGTTCATCGATGACTTGCACGGGACATTCAGGTGCAATGAAGAAAACGACCGATGAACATCAGCACATATTTTCTGTCCAAACAATGAGACGTTCTGAGAGAGAGGGAGAGTTCTGTGTGATTCACTGGCTTTTCCTCCGGCTGAAATTGGCACCGGGAGTGTGTGTGTGTGTGTGTGTGTAGTAGTAGGGGAGGGAGAGCTGGAGTACAGTGGATCCCAATGTTCCAGCAGCTGACAGCTTTACAGTTCACGACGAACGCACAGTATGCAAAACAGCCATACGCGCCGGGTTAATGGAGTACGCTGCTGTCAGCAAACAGCCACCTCTATGAGACACAGGGTCATCGGGTCCACGGCGACCAGAGTCGAGAAAAGAAAAGAGACCGGGGCGCTGCAAAACAAGCTTGTCCTTTTCCTCGTTACGGGGGCGTCGGAGGATTCCGCTCAACTGTTCCAAGATGTCAGAACTACAAAGCTCCCTTGAATGAGGGAAGTTCAGGCCCGCGGGCCGCTAGTGACCCGGGAACAGCTGGCCTGGTGATGGGGCTTACTGTTCCCTCGCTCTGGAAAGCTAGTGTGGACAAGATAGCTATGTCTGGTTGCGGACAAATGCTTGGGTCTGGGCCATGCTTGGTATGCGTTGATGACATAGTCTTGGAGTTTCTGTTTCTTTAGACGAGCGGTGCACACCACCTCCAACGAGGAAGTGAGCAAGGGCTTGACCCATATAGGAAATAGGAAGTGAATCAGAAAAGTGTTTATTCGCCATTGAATGTGTGAACAGACAAGGAATTTACTGTGGCAGGAAGGTGCTTACATGCAACATAAGAATAGAACAATATACATTAAAATAAAGGGATGAGGGGGTAGTGGGATTGTATGTACAAAAAAACAACAACAATAAGATACCAAAAAACAACAGTGCAATAGAGCAAAAAATGTAGTGCAAATCAGGCAATGTGCAAAAGGAGTGGGTCAGAGGCTTAAGTGAGATGGGTCATAGTACAAGGCTTGTGTGCACCCCTGGCCTTGTTGAGGAGGCCAGTAGCACATGGGAAGAAACTGTTCTTGTGCCGTGAGGTTTTGGTGCTGATGGACCGAAGCCTTCTGCCGGAGGGGAGTGGATTGAACAGAGAGTGTCCGGGGTGAGAGGGGTCTGCCACAATCTTCCTAGCTCGCCTCAGAGCACTCGAGGTGTGCAGATCCTCGAGGCTAGACAGACTGCAGCCTATCACCTTTTCAGCTGAGCGGATAATACGCTGCAGTCTGCTCTTGTCTTTGGCTGTAGCAGCAGGGTACCAGATGGTGATGGATGAGGTGAGGATGGACTCAATGATGGCTGAGTAGAAGTGGACCATCATAGTCTTAGGCAGGTTGAATTTCTTCAGCTGCCGAAGGAAGTACATCCTCTGTTGAGCTTTCCTGGTCAGTGAGGAGATGTTTAAATCCCACTTGAGGTCCTGTGAGAGGATGGTGCCCAGGAAGCGGAAGGACTCTACCGTATTGACGGGGGAGCCACACAGGGTGATGGGTGAGAGTGGGGCTGAGTTTCTCCTGAAGTCCACAACCATCTCCACTGTCTTTAGAGCATTGAGCTCTAAGTTGTTCTGGCTGCACCAGGTCACCAGTTTGTCAGCTTCCAGCCTGTAGTCGGACTCGTCCCCACCGGAGATGAGCCCAATGAGGGTGGTGTCATCCGCAAACTTCAGGATCTTAACAGATGGGTGACTTGAGGTGCAACTGTTGGTGTACAGGGAGAAGAGCAGAGGAGAAAGGACGCAGCCCTGGGGGGACCCGGTGCTAATGGACCGGGAGTCAGAGACTTGTGACCCCAGCTTGACGCACTGCTTCCTGTCAGACAGGAAGTCTGTGATCCACCTGCAGGTGGAGTCTGGAACGTTGAGCTGGGAGAGCTTGTCATGTAGAAGGGCAGGGATGATGGTGTTGAAGGCGGAGCTGAAGTCAACAAACAGGATCCTCGCATATGTTGCAGGGGAATCCAGGTGCTGGAGAGTGAAGTGGAGGGCCATGTTGACTGCATCGTCCACCGACCGGTTGGCTCTGTAGGCAAACTGCAGGGGGTCTAGTAGAGGGTCTGTGATTGTTTTCAGATGAGCCAGCACAAGACGTTCGAAGGACTTCATTACCACAGAGGTCAGCACGACGGGTCTGTAGTCATTATGTCCTGTTGGCCTTGGCTTTTTAGGCACTGGGATGATGGTGGAGGCCTTAAGACAGGCTGGCACATGGCATGTCTCCAGGGAGGTGTTGAAGATGGCGGTGAACACGGGAGACAGCTGGTCAGCGCAGTGCTTAAGGGTGGCTGGAGAGATAGAGTCTGGTCCTGCTGATTTGCGGGGGTTCTGCCTCTTGAAGAGTCTGTTTACATCTCTGTCTTGAATGGTGAGAGATGCATCTGAGGTGGGGGTAAGGGGGAGAGGGGAGTTCAGGGCCGTCCAGCTGCCTTTCGAATCTGCAGTAAAACTCATTCAGGTCGTTGGCTGAGCGAGAGTCGTTGGTGGTGTGGGGGGCTCTGGGCTTGTAGTTGGTAATTTGCCTCCGACCCCTCCAGACAGAGGCAGAGTCGTTAGCAGAGAATTGTTGTTTTAATTTCTCTGAGTACCGTCGTTTAGCCACTCTAATCTCCTTGCTAAACCGGTTCTTAGCCTCTTTGAAAATGTCTCTGTCCCCGCTCCTGAACGCTTTCTCTTTCTCCAGCCTCAACTTTCTGAGTTTAGCAGAGAACCAGGGCTTATCATTGTTGAAATTCACCCTGGCGCGTGTTGTAATGCAGGAGTCCTCACAGAAGCTGATGTAAAATGTGACCGCTTCTGTGAACTCATCGAGGCTGTTGGTAGCAGACCTGAACATGTCCCAGTCTGTAGTGTCAAGGCATGACTGTAGATCCCCCACCGCATCACTGGTCCACTGTTTTGATGTCCTCACCGCAGGTTTGCAGAGTTTTAGGTTCTGCCTGTAAGCAGGAATCAAATGGACCATGGTATGGTCGGAGAGACCCAGTGCAGCCCGAGGGACAGCGTGGTAGGCTTTACTGACCGTAGTGTAACAGTGGTCCAGGGTATT